CGCTGCTCCGGCCCCCCTTCGGGGCCGCCGCCCTCTTCCCTCCCGATCTAACTAGAGGCCACCGTATCCCAGCGCCCGCGCTCCGCCAGTCTCCAGTAAACGGAGACGCGGAGCGGAAGGAACCCTCGCCTGACGCACGCTCGAGCGGAGACAGCCTGCGACCAATAAGAAAGGATCGTCCGATCGTCTAGCCAATCATCTGGGGGCTGCTCGGCCTGACCGTGCTACGTCACGAACGGTCGCCTTAACAACCGCCCACAGCTCTCACCCGGGCGAGAACTGGTACCGCACCATCTCTCACCATGGCTCAGCCAACCAATAACTAGTCGAGTCCCAGCACTGGGGCCTGCCTATTGGTCCAAAAGCCGTGGGGGCGCAAGCATGGAAGCTGCCTGCGCGAAGGCGATAGGGGATTCGACCGGTGGGGTGTCGCATAACCTGAGGGCCTGACCTGCGGTCGTCCTGGCCGTAAGAACACTACGGGAGGCAGGGGTCTGAAGCAGAATTGGAGCATGAAGATAAACACAAGGTCAGGTTGAGGATAAAAAGCTCAGTTACTTAGCAAAGAGATGGAGAGAGGTAGAGGTGGCCCTGGAGGAAAAAACAAAAAGAGGAATATAAAAAAGAGAAGGTGGCAGTGAGGTGCAACTCCAGCTCAAGCAGACCCACATCCCGATTCGGAAGCTGACACGTTCCTGTGCCTTACCCATTAGTGTAAATGGAGCCGGTTACCCGCGTCTCTCTCTCCTGCGTGAGGCACCCCGTCAGTTCTCTCTGTGTTGTGCCTCCCCGGTGTCTTCTCTGCATTCCCTCTGCCATCTGCCTGTTGCATGTCTTCATTGTCTCTTACCTAAAATAATGCATAGTCTACCCTAACTGGTCTTCCCACTCTTAGGCGCTTCACCTTCCAATCAGCCCTGTGCTACTGCCACAGTAATTTTCCTATTATGCCATAAGCCTGCCTCCGAAACATCAGGAGTTTCATTGTCTCCTGGATTAAGGAGTATGACACCAGCAATTTGGGCTCCACCCCACATTTCTTGGGTATCTCTCACTATTTCCCCGTGGCAACCCAATGTTTCAGCCAAGATTAGCCGATCCTTTTTCAGTTACACTCAGAACCTTTTTACCTCTCTGCTTATGTTTTCTTTATTTAACCTGAATATGCCTACCAGTTTAAATTGTTTAAATCCTAACTAATCCTCAAGACCCATTTCTTGTGCCACCTCCTTTCTGATTCCCTCAAACGTGTCATTTCTTTCTACTTTGAGTACTTATAACATTTCTATAATAGTCTATGACTTGTCCTATATGGAAATTTTTAAGAACAAGAACTGTATTTCACTCAGTTTTTAAAGTCCAGTCCTGTATTTTGAAACAGAACCTGGAAAACATACTTAAGAGTAGTTTTAGTGGGACCAGTAGTTAGCGTAATGGCTATGTCGCTGGACTCCCATGTAGTACACCGCGGTGTGAGCCGGGCGCATGTGTGTGCGTGCCCAAGATCCTGAGAGGAGAATGGAGGAGAAGGGATTGCGTTTTGGCCGTCCCCCCTGGGGGGTGATTTCTCGCTTTCTGTCTGTCTCTCTCACGATCACACGTGCCCCATAGCAAAAAACCTCCAAAAAAAAAAAAAAAAGCGCAATAGTTTTAGTATTATCTTGTTAGATTCTCATAGTCCTTATAAAATAGGCATTATTCCCATGTTACAAAGAAAAAAAAAAAGTTTGTTAAGCAACTGTAGATCACAGATTGTAAAAACTGGGATTTGAACCCAGGTCTATAGCTTATGCTGGTTCTACTACACTGTTCCTGTACAATACCTTTATTTGTATTTCTTTACCAAATATTTTGAAATGCTTATTTTGTGCAATGAATGCACTGTTTTTGGCTTTGGAGATATAGTGGCAAACATGACAGCACAGTCCCTGCCTTTATGAACCTGGTACAGTGAAGAAAACTAAGTTGTACTTGCCAGAGATTGCAATAGTCTTTTCTTAGCCTTGTCAAAATGAAAAAAGAAAAAGAGAGCAAGAATAATAAGTACCAAGAGCCTAGAAATAGAAACTCTGTCATATTTTTAATGCCCCTAGAAGTCTGAATGGCATTAGAAATGAAAGAGTGCATAAATGATTACTAATATAAATTCAAAGAAGGATTGTAAAACTGTTACCTCAAAAGGCTTTAGACCAAGACTTAGAGACTTTTTTTTACCAAACTCTGCTTACTTGAGAAATCCAATGGGGGGGATTTCGTTCAAAGGCATCTCTGAGTCAGCCAGGTTGGTACCATGAGCAAAGCTCACCCTCCTGAATTGAAAAAATTTATGGACAAGAAGTTATCACTGAAATTAAATGGTGGCAGACATGTCCAAGGAATATTGTGGGGATTTCATCCATTTATGAATCTTGTGATAAATGAATGTGTGGAGATGGCAACTAGTGGGCAACAGAACATTGGAATGGTGGTAATACGAGGAAATAGTATCATCATGTTAGAAGCCTTGGAACGAGTATAAATAATAGCTGTTCAACAGAAAAACCCATGTCCCCTCATCAACGGGCCTGTTTTACTATGATGTAAATATCAAGGCATGTATATTTTCATAATAAACTTTTTGTTAAGTAAAAAAAAAAAGAAATCCAATAGGTATATGAATTCAAAATGAGCCATTAAAAAATTACTTATTGGGACCAGCAGTTGGCGTAATGGCTAAGTTGCTGGACTCCCATGTAGTCGACCGCGGGTCAAGTCCCGGACCCGGTGGCTTAAAACTAATGCCGGACGCGTGTGCGTGTGTGCCCAAGTTCCCGAGAGGAGAATGGAGGAGAAGGGATTGTGGCGTGGCCATCCCCCCTGGGGAGTGATTTCTCGCTTTCTGTCTCTCTGTCTCATTCCCTGTCCATCTGGCGAGTGCATGCGCCCTGTGGCAAAAAACTCTCAAAAAAAAAAAATTACTTATTACCCAGATTTATGTTCTTTAAACAACTTCTATACCTTCCCAAAATGTATTTCAAAAGGAACTGGGGACCAGCAGTTAGTGTAATGGCTACGTTGCTAAACTCCCATGTAGTCAACCATGGTTTAAGTCCTGGACCTGATGGCTTAAACTCACACACGCATGCTTGTGCATGCATTCCCAAGATCCTGAGGGGAGAATGGAGGAGAAGGGATTGTGGCGTGGCCATCCCCCCTCCCCCCCGGAGGGGTGATTTCTCACTTTCTGTCTCTGTTTCTCTCTCTCTGGCAAACGCACATACCCTGTAGCAAAAACCTCTTCAAAAAAAAAAGGATCTGTATACACTAAACTAATCATTTGTACTTAAGGATAAATCACAAAATTTGGCAGGGACAAAACATAGAAGGGAAGTGAAAAAGAACATAGTCAGAAAATCTGTATATCTTGTCTTAGGGGTTTAGTCTCCAAGCATAGTGTTTATAAAAATAAAATTTTATGAGTCTTAAAGTAACCCATGAGCCATACTGCCACAATGCCCTTAGCATTTATTTATGTAAATTAGTAACATTAGGCCTCCAACCTTTTTCTTGCTTTTTATACTCATGGTTCATGCCTAAAAGTAGGGGAATTATAACAACAAAACAATAATAATAATAATAATTTCTTATATAGCTTTATATGTCAGCCATTTTTCTAAATGCTTTTGATAAATGCTCTCTCAATTAGAAGTCCTGTGAGGAAAACATTAGTAGAATCTCCATTTTACAAACAATAACGCTACAGAAAGCAGAAAGTTAAGGAACTTGCCTAGACCACACAGCCTGGAAGTAAAAAGCTGGAACATGAACTTGGGATCTGGCATTCAAGCACATTCTCTAAACCACTCTGTTGTACCTCTTTTGCATTAGCATAATAGACATTATGTTGTATTAGCATATATTGCATGATTATTTAAACACTGATGCTTTATTGCAAAAGATTTTTATAATAACAACAGAGATGTTTATTTCCCATCACAGTTCCCAGCTGTGTTCAAATTTATATCTTTAAGTTTGAGACAGTTTTCTTTCTCTTCATCCTACGCAATGTTTTGCTTTGTTATTATTTCAGTGTAAGTATGTATTATTATTGCCAGAAGTCGTGCATCCTTGTCAAAGAAAGAAAGAACTCCTCAATAGGATGTGATCACACTGCAATCCCTTTTTCCTCCATTTCTCCATCCCATCAGAATCCTGTGCACATATGTCCAGTGTGTTTTTCAACCTGAAGAGTCCAGGATTTGAACCATCTTTGGCCATGTGGGATTCAGTTCCTTATGTATAGTGCTTTACTGCTTCACTACAGAACTGGCCCCAGGATCATTTTATAAGCTAATATATTGCAAGTGATAATGGGTCACACTTAGCTTTTAGCAGATGTTGTGACTGATTATCTCTCCTACTAGAGGTCAAGAAATATTCACCAAGGACCTACTCTGTGATACAAAAAGAGGCCCTCAAATACACAAACATGTCCTTTGCAGACAACATGGTAAGTGTTCTGAGTGAGGTTGCACAGGGTCCAGTGAAAAAAGTTAGGGTTGTATTTTGAAGAAGGGGAGAAAGTGTTCTTCCAGGCACTCAGTCCAAGACTGTGAACATGAGAATGGAGGTGACATCAATATAGGAGAAGAAAATTACAAATCAGAAAGTGGGACCAGCAGTTAGCATAATGGCTATGTCGCTGGACTCCCACGTAGTCGACCGCGGTTTGCATACTGCATCCAGTGGCTTAAAACTCACGCCGGGCGCGTGTGCATGCATGCCCCAGGATCCCAAGAGGAGAACGGAGGAGAAGGGATTGTGGCATGGCCATCCCCCCTGGGGGGTGATTTCTCGCTTTCTGTCTCTCTGTCTCTCTCTGTCTTTCTGGCAAGTGCACGTGCCGTATAGCAAAAACCTCTTCAAAAAAAAAAAAATCTGAAAGTACTGTAAAATAGTTTCTTTTTTTTTTCCCTGTTTTAAAGAATTTATTTTACACCTACTATACCACACATTGTATTTTAAACACCAGCATATAACTCCCTAATAAGATAAAGCAGGCTAAAATTTACCTTATTAGAAATAAGACACACTATCATTTATAGTCTTCAAACATTATTGCACTTGGGACTTTCATAATTTGACAAAGTATTCATAAAACAATCTACAGACTAGTTTAACAAACAAATAACACTTCCTCTTTTTTAAAAAAAGAATTATTTTATTTAACTTTATTTATTTTAATTTGAGCAGAGAGGGACAGAGTGAGAGAGAGTGAGAGAGGGAAAGTGAGAAAGCAAGCCACTGGGTCTGAGACTCACACCATGGTCGGCTATGTGGGAATCCAGCGTCCTTAACCACCACGCCATCTGCTGGCCCCACAAATAACACTTCTAAGCAGACACAACTGTCCTAAATTATTTATTAGGTATGACTTTACAAACATTTCTTATATCAGCGGTAATGGTGGAGTTGGAGAGTATTGCACCTTCTCCAAGCTGCACGGCCAGAACCACCAATAGTGTGGCGGAACTTGTGGGCCTTTCCAAGACCACGGCTCTTGGGACCTGCAGATGTCAGTTTCCACATCTCCCTGTGCTTTGTGAACTGGTTTGGTAATCCACTGAGTGTCAAAGTTTCTTCTGATAGCTTTATGAAATGGATCAATGGAGATGACTTCGAAGAACTTGTATGTGGAATCTTCACTAACCCAGCAAGAATTCAGGACTCTCAGGGTCCCACAGTGGTGTCCAACCCGCTCCTATACAAAAGACTAGAGGTTTTGAACAAACTGACTGGTTAACACCATGATGGACAGGCTGGCCCTAGGTTGTACCCTTGGGAACTGGGCGCTTGAGGCCTCCACAGTGCACACGAATGCTATATATGACATAACCTTACTTAGCCTTCTATC